ACATAAAAAGTTCTATTTAAATTAAACACTAATCTAGAGAATAATAAATGGTAGATTCTAAGATAGTTTGGGAGATAGTCAAAATGAAATAGTTAGGTCTAGAAGAAATTTTGTTAGAAAAAAAATGGCCATTAGGAAATCATAATGTTCTTTAAGAAAAATTAAATCAAGGGCTGGGGTTGTGGCTCAGCTCGCCTAGCACGTGCGAGGTCCTGGGTTCGATCCTCAGCACCACATAAAAAATAAAGGTATTATATCCATCTACAACTAAAAAATAAATATTTTTAAAAAATTAAATCAAAACACAAAGGTGTAAATAATAAGTAGTCTGTCAAAAAGTAGCTATTTCTGAAAATAAGCAAGGCAGATCATAGCCAAGATTAAATTAAAAGCAGACAACAGGTTCTGATAAAAAAAAAAAAGGGTCTGAAGAAGGGTTGAGAGCATCCTATGTTAACTGAAGACAAGGTACTTAAAAATTCAATATATCTTTAACCAATAAGAGGTTTCCTATAAAAGAAACCTGCCCTACTTGGTATCTGCCCTACTTGGTATTTAGAAAAACTGTCATTTCTAAGCCTCAGTGAGAGATGTCCAGTGAAAACAAAGCCTAAATTACCAACAGGAAGTACCATCACCAGGGGCTGGGGATGTGGCTCAAGTGATAGCACGCTCGCCTGGTATGCGTGTGGCCCGGGTTCGATCCTCAGCACCACATACAAACAAAGATGTTGTGTCCACCGAGAACTAATAAATAAATATTAAAAAATTCTCTCTCTCTAAAAAAAAAAAAAGAAGTACCATCACCAACCTATAGTCAGAAGTAAGAGTAAGTCTTATGTAAGGATTCCCTAAAACTTCAAGTCTCAAAAAATTACGGTTGATATAGATAGGGTAAGTAACATCACTCAAAAAAGTGGTCAACAGTATTATGATCAACAAAGAGATAATAAGTCAGGAGAAGAGACGGAGACTCTGACTCTTAAAGGTTTATAGAAGATTAATTAACTAAGGCATGGAAACTTGAAGAACAGAGAAGTATGAAGATTAAGTGTGGACAATGGGGCACAGAAAAAAAATCAATGTCCCAGATGTGGAGGAGACTAGAGTGCTGAAATGAGGCTATTAAAAAACAGGTAAAAAAATTATTCTAAATTTCACAACAAGGAGAACTTCTCTACTCAAGCAAATGACACGTCCAAAGATCAAGGGCTGTGGTTCTTAAAACATTCTTACACAGAAGAATGTCCCACAAAACATGTACAATTGCAGATTTTCAGCAAACTTGATTTGTGAGCACTGTCCCCTTGGCAAAGGAAACCTGCTCAGACTTCATTCTGTGGCATACCAGAATTATCACCAATTATATCAAGAAATGATCCCCAAAGCAGTTTCATTTAAACTCGTAAATATAAAAGGAAATCCAGCCATTTTTAAAATACACTGGGTTGTATCAAAGTATAAAAAAGTATGTACATGGCATTAATTGCCAATATAGAGAGAACAAGTGATCTAAGTGAATTATTACAATTATGGAATTTTAACTTAATTTTCCTGCATTCAGAGATTATAGCTAGAAAGTCTATTTTTGCATAAATACTTAGAAAAAGGAGAGAATTTACCCTAAAAATCATTTTTACAAAAAAGTTTTTAAAAAAATGATTCTAGGTAGCACATTGAGGAAAAAAAGAAGTAGCTAAAAATTTAGAAAACTTCAGTGATATATAATAAACTAAAAGGTAAGAGGCATGAGATAAACTTATTATAATAGAATTAGACAGGAAACTAAGAGTAAATGGAAAACAGATTCAGATGACAAATAAGCAATACTAAGTATAAAATAGAAGGACCTGGTCTATACGTGGGTGCTGGCTCAGAGTAAGACAAATGCTAGTGTGACATGGGAGGTCTTCAGAAAAGAGGGAAGAAAAGGCTGAGATGTCCCAGGGAGCAGGGTGGAAGATTTGAGGTCAGCAATCAAATTTTATCAGAAAAGAATCAAGATTTTTTTTTTTTTTTTGGTAGTTCTGGGACTCAAAACCCAAGGCCTTGTGCTTGATAGGCAAGCACTCTATCACTAAGTTACATCCCTGGCCCCCCAGATCAAGGATTTTATAGTATGTCTGTCCAAGGAGTTGGGTTAAAAGTCCCCCCACAATAAGAACAAGCAAACAGTTCTGGAAAAAAGCCCACACAAAGTTTTGGTCCTTACCACAGTGCCTTAAGGAATGGAGTTCCCAGGATGCCCACTTGAGCTGGTTCTCCACAGCATCAAGCTCAGAATTTGGCAATCCCTGAGCATCTTCTTGAGATACTATCTCCTCTACTAGTACTTCTCTTTTCCGTCGACGGAGAGAAACCTGGAAAGATGATTTTGGTTCAGTTGAGAAAGAATTGTTATTAAACACATCCAAGAAAAACCATATAAAATATCTACTGCAGAGGCCCAGAGGGCCAAAAGACACAGAAAGAGAGTGGTAAGGAAATATGGAAGGCATAGAAATAGTTTTAATCCAATCAAGTGAAATTAACTCAGCAGTTGACCAACTGCTATGTCAGTGCTTCTGACCCCAGGAAAAGTGATGCAAGCAGGCTCACCGGCTGTCCAGGGTCATCTAGTTCACTCTCCAAATCCTCCAGCACTGTCACTGCCTCTTCTCCATTCTCTGGATGATGCTCTCGAACCCAAGTCTGTAGCTCTTTGGGCAGGATAGCAACAAACTGCTCCAGCACCACTAGTTCCAAGATCTGTTCTTTTGTGTGCGTCTCTGGCCTGAGCCATAGACGGCAAAGTTCTCGGAGCTGGCTCACTGCTTCACGGGGCCCTGGTGAATCCTGGTATCCAAATTGCCTGAATCGCTGTCGGAAAACCTCTGGATCAGGGAGATGATTCCAGGTAATACTTGATCCCTCTTCACCATCAGGATCCTCTTCCAGCTTCACTCTGAGAATTTTTTCCTCTTCATCTGGAGTTGGGATGATAAGTATTGAATCTTCTTCCACTGACTGTGCAGACATCCTGATTTGTAATACTTCAAGAAAGACAATAAAGGCAGGATAAAATCCTCAAAAAAAATGTCCTGTTTTCTTCACAGGTACTCCTGAGGCACAAGAAAGAAAAACACATGTGACCAAATATACTAAGAATTTGGATTAATACTGATAAAGTAAAAATATTTGTCTTCTACTGGATTAAAAATTCCAATCAAAAGCCTACACCAGGCCTGGGGTTGCGGCTCAGTGGTAGAGCACATGTCGAGCATGTGTGAGCACTGGGTTCAATTCTCAGCACCACTAAAAAATAAATAAAGGTTCATCATTAACAAGAGCAATAAAAAGCCTATACCAGAGTCAGCAAAACTACAGATCGAAACCAAATCTAGCTTGATGCCTGTTTTCATAACACATCAGAAAAGTCTGAAATTTTTTGGTGGTTGAAAAAAATATTGCATGATGTGAAACTGTAAATTTAAAATGTCTATATCCATAAATTGTTTTATTTGTTCATGGTTCATACTACAATAGCAGAATTAAGTAGTTTCAACACAGACGATATGACCTAAAAACCTTAATTTTTATTATCTGGTCCTTTACAGAAAAACCTTGCCAGACTATGACCTACAAAGTTGACATACCCTATTTCAACAATCAAACGAATCCGAGCAAGAACTGGTCTATGTCAGGGTCTTCTAAATGTGCTTGATCTTGGAACACATTATGTACAATTTAGGGCTGGTGTTCTCTGACTTACTTGAGTCAACTCAAAAGTAACTGCTTTTTAAATTTTATTTTATTTTGTGTGGTGCCATGGTCCAGATGCTCTCAAATGTGCTTGACCACTGAGCTGAGTTACATGCACAGCCATACTGCTTTTTAATTATCTACTTTAAAAGACATTTAAGAACTCTGTGGAATTAAAATATAGGGTGAAAAAATGTTTACTTGCTCAGTAACAGATCACATAAACTGGAAAAAAATGCTATTTTGCATAGTAACATGCAAATATTATTCATTCACCATACCATAAATACATTTAAATTTATAATGACAGGCATTAAACAGCAAATTCTGTTAAGAAAAGGCATTCTCAAAAGCCGGGAATGGTGGGGCAAGCCCGAAATCCCAGCAGCTCAGGAGGCTGTGAGCTCAATGCCAGCCTCAGCAACTTAGCAAGTTCCTAAGCAACTCAGTGAGACCCTATCTCTAAATAAAAATATTAAAAAAGGTTGGGCATGTGGCTCAATGGTTAAGCGCACCTGGGTTCAATTCCCAGTACCAAAAAATAATAATAACAAAAAGAAAACAACAAAGAAAAGACATTCTCAGAACCACTTTAACTTCTTGCAGTAGTTCAGAGGCTCTTATACTGGATGACTCAGTTTTCCCAGCTTCTAACTTCAGGGAATCTTTGTGCTACTTTCTGATCCCTTACTTAGTATTTGCATAGTCATGCGGAGGCCACGAATTGAGAATGAGCCATAGAGTTACTACATGTATTCAAGCTCCAGAATATAAAAGCTGTAACTTACAAAAACCACTTTGTAACTGATCAAGACGAAGAGTAAGAATCCAAAAATGCTTTATCCAGCAGGTAATACATACGGGTTTAAATACTCTGGATGTGGTGGTCTTACAAGCAGTCTAGCCAAAAGATTTACTCATCCCTATCCCAGGATCCGACCTTACCAATGGCTCAAGCATTTCTATATAAGAGAAATTTATTTTCCTTTTATGCTATATAGCACTCGGCTCGTGGGGCACGGGGAGAGCTGGGAGGCAGGCCTCGTGTCCCCAGTGTTTGGACGGGTGACTGATCCCAGGTGATCTTGCCTCAGTCCTGCAGAGACTCGCTGTTTATACCACCTTCGTCCCGAAGTCCTCCAGCCCCTCCTCCCAGCACTCCGAGCCGCGACCACAGACGACCAGAGGCCAACAAGTCACCACCACCTCGAATCCACGGCATTTCCGCCCGCGGCGAGCGGAACTACCAGTCCCAGCAGCCCCCGCGCAAGGCCCGCCCAGTCTCCACCTCCGCCGAGATAACTCCCAGAAGCCTCTGCGAGACGCCAGGGCCTCGAAATAGAACAAAACCGGCAGGTGGGGGAGGGGGGAAACGAGGGTTTCGGAGGGCAGAAGCAACGTACAACTCCTGGCGAATGCCTAAGGCTCGGGCGGGCCTCCCGCTGACCCCTTCCCGCCCCTCAACTGCTAGGCGCGGAGACCATGGCCCTTTCTCCGCGCCTCTTGTGAAGCTGAGAAAGGTTCCCGCCAGCTTCCTCGCCGGTTTCTGCTAAAAGGTCCGCAGACCGTAGCCCGGCGTCCCCCTCCTCCTCATACCCTTCCCTCAACTCGCGCAAACCTCTGGCTCAGGAACCGCAGCAGCTTCGCTGTCCAAGGCAGACGCAGAAACACCGCTTACAAGCCGTTTCCCAGAAGCCCCCGGAATGGACTCCTTCCGGTCTGCAGGCCCGAGGAGGCGGAGAGAGGCAAAGCCCCGCGTTGCCATGGAGATGCACTCCAGGTGGGGGAAGGGCGGCCTAACGACAATGACCGCATTGAGGCTGCGCTTGGCCTGGCGCCTCTGCTCGAATAGCCCAGCATTCTGTTCCGTTTTTAAAAAAAAGGAAAAGGGGGAATGCTGCCGTTAAGATAGTCTTTTCAGTTTCACAAACCCTTTCATGCATTATATCATGTGAGTAATCCCCTGGAAGAGTAAAAGTCAGTATTTATGAAAGCTTACGACATGATGCTGGCTACTGTCCCTGTGCTATACATGCACTGTGCTGTTTTGTTTTGTTTTGTTTTTTCTCAAAACTTCTGTGATGTAGGAACTTTTATTATGCCCATTTCAGGCTAAGTGAGGCAGAAATAATTTGCCAAGAGCTCCTAACTCTTACGTTGAAATCAAGATTTGAAACCAAGACATGGCCCAAACCTTTGGCTCACACCAGCTATGTCACAGAGTTTTATTATGACCAATTTATGTATGTATATCAGAAGCAAAATGAGGCAGGTTGAGTTTTAGCAATGATGTTGAATAAGAATATCAATGGTCAGTCTTATTCAGTAGACATATTGAGCACCACCACAGCCTATTTCAAATATAACAGACTTGAGGCTCACCTATGGGAATACCTCCAGCCAATTACTTCCTTGGGAAGGTGGGGGACAGGGGTGGAACCCAGATGGAAATTCCAGGAAGGAATGTGGGAGTGAACCGCATGGAAAGGAAGACAATAGCCATAATACTTTTCAATGCCTGTTTAACATATTTTTTGCTGCATGCTCTAGCCAGAACTATATATAAACTCCTAAGCTGACACACCAAAATGGGTTTTTCTGCTATCAGGCCACCTCCCATGTGGCAGGAGTTCTCTCTCTTCTTGTTTAACTAAATCCTGCTCCATTTACTCTTCCCTTCCAGGATTGTGGACTTTATTCTTCAAAATATAGGAGACAAGAACCCAGAGGAAATTGGCCAAGTGGGAAACAGTCTCATCTCAAAACTCCAGTTTAAGGTCGCAGTGAATTTGCAGAATGCGTGAGCATCTGACTTCAGCCTGGGTATTTTGTGCCAAAAAACAATTGTAGACATAATCATTTAAAAATGTAAGTCAGAACACTTCATTTCCCTTTAAAGCCCTCCAATGGATCTCAGCTACCTTAAATATAACATAAAAACTCCTAACATTGACCTGCAAGATCTTCTGTAGTTTGTTACCTCTCTGACCAAAGCTTTTCGGCTCAATGTGGCCTAGGAGCTTCAGCCTCACTGCCAGCCTTTCCTTCTGGAAGCCTCCACATCCTTCATAGCACTATTTAGAGGTAATCTCATTTATTTATTTACCTGTTTTGTTTTTGTCTGTAAGTCCTGGTAGAGACAGGAACTTCTACTGCCTTGTTTACCACAGTATCCCCACCCAGATTGCTGCCTTTGATGTCAGGCATCAGAAACCACACAAGAGAGCCCTGCTGTTTAAGATCTTTTGTTAGAAGCCTAGGTCCAGCCTTCCAGAAACATTCCAAAAATCTCAGAATTCTTTTTTTTTTTTCTTCTTCTTCTTCTTTTTTGTCCCATTCAGGAAAGTACCCTCTGAAAAGTGCCCTTAGCCTCTCTCAGTTTTACGAATAAAAGGGTGAGTGAGTGAGCAGCCAATGGCATAGCACTACTGTTTACTCTGACCACAGCTCATCTTCCCATAACCCCTGCTAACTGTCTTGTAGGAGGCTGCAGAAATCCAGCTTTTTAACTCTCCTTCTTGGCTACTGTCTCCATCCAGCTTGGCTGCACTTTCCAACCTTTCCCTCTTTTGTGACTACGCAAGATATTTTTATTCTGTTTTGTTTTACTTTGTTTTTACATATGATTAACATTGGAAAGCAAAAAGTATAAGTATCAAATAAAAATGTTTGCAGAAGCTAAAAATATTGCAAAATTTTACAAAAGCCTTTCCTGATTCTTTCTAAAATAGTAAATTGAAACCAGAATGACGCTTTCTTCACTAAGTTACTCTTTTGAAGATGGGGGCCAACAACACCCACTTTGAAATACCATCCTTCTGAGCTCCATTGTGTCAACTGTTTCCTGAATGGTGGCCCTTGTTAACATCTTATAGCTCTAGTCAAGATAGAGCATTGTGTTCCTCTTGGCAGCCTGAGCATAGGGAACAGCTCGATACCAGTGCTGACAAATCCACTCAGGCCACCAAGGCAAGGCTTGAACCACAGCTAATCTGAGTCTTGGCAAAGCATCCTGTGGTCATGAGAGCCTGGGAGGCTTGTGAGCAGCTACTACAAGGCCATTTCCCTCCCAGCTCCCTGTCTTTCAAGGAGACTGTTAGGAGGCCATTTCTTATTGCTTCCTGGGTTCTAGTGAGGCTTCTATCTCATCCCCTAACAGTACAGTGGTAGGCTGTTAAATGTTTAGCTGCAACAGCATTTGCCCTTCAGCAACAAAGTTTCCATAACTCATTTTGCCCCCTTTATTTTGCTGTCATCATTTGAGTTCATGAGACAGAAGCTCAGGGAGGACTGGCACCTTTGACTACTTTTGCTTCCATTGTCTATATAATAATCTAAGTCTAAAAATGCTCATTTCTTTACCACTAAATCTTTTAACCTTGCCAGGTCTTGATACCAAACATCTCATCCATTCATTAATGATAAATCAAACAAACAAAAAAGACAGATACTACCTGGTTGCCAGAGAGTTAGAAATAAAATGAGTTATGATTCTTTCTTTGAACATGACCATCTTGTTCAGGAGATAGACAAGAAAACAAATATCTACAAGGCAGTGTAGAAGTGTGACAATAGAGAAGAACAGAATACCACCAGGGGTGCTTTCATATGAGTTATTATGCCCAGAAAAGGCAGACACCCCGAGATAGTGGAGGGGAAACAAGAAAAGTTTTCCCATTGTTAGGAAAGCACAGACCTTCTGGTTTGGTGTTATCAGATTCTACCCAAGACAATCTTTCATTGGCTTTTCTCTAAAAATTAATTTGGAACTCTCAATCTTTCATCTGGGCATTTGAAGTACTCTTGTGGTGGAGAAACCAAACCTGATTATAAATGGAATTATATGAACATTATAAAAAAGAATCAGTGCCTGGGGAAAGGGTTAATTTCTCCCCCAACCCTAAGCCAGCTTCTCTGCAGGGAACCTAATTAACCTTGGGTCCCTATCTATTGGGTTGTAAATAGCTATCATAGGAAGCCTGAGGACTCTCTCTTGATATGTAAACATCCCTGTGACAATCTTCAAGACCAGAGACAATGGATACCTGTGAAGTTTCTTCTTAAGCTTTGTAAACCTTTTAGGAGTGTAGCTACATCAATTAATTACTATTATAAATTAATTTATAATAGTATAAATTTATAAATTTTAAGTCACCATGACAGTTAACTGCTGTCTAAACTGTAACTTTAGTTTTTAGAAATATAGCTCTTGGGCTGGGATTGTGGCTCAGTGGTGGAGCACTCCCCTAGCATGGGCGGGACCTGGGTTTGATCCTCAGCACCACATAAAAAAAATAAAGGCATTGTGTTGTGTCCATCTACACCTAAAAAATAAATATTTTAAAAAAGAGAATACCCTGGAAAAATAGGGTCCTCTTTTAAAATATCTATATCTATATCTATCTTAGGGAGATAAACTCAAGTCATCTTTAGTTATTGTGGCCTGTGGAAAAGGACACTTCATGATAACACAAATGTTTTACTGTCTCTGTCCTGCACCTGTGAACTACTTATCGTAAAATTTCTGCATAAGATCCTTCATCATGAAAGTCAAGAATTATAACCTACCATTGTTGTAATGGTTAAGGAATGATGCCGAATTTCCTATAAAGAACCCATGTGACCTAGCTCAAGGCCCAGAACTTCAGAGCACTAGGTCATCTGGGTCCAATGGGACATAAATAAGCCTGGGTTCTCCAACCCTCCTAGTTGTGCTTGGTCTTTTGCTGAGTGCAGTTTCCATAACAGTCTTCCATTTGAGCCAATAAGTGCACTGATGCCAGGAATCTTTGGATTACAAGTGATTTGAAAACCCAACACTGGCAGACATTAGCTTCCCACATAAAGCCCACCTCCTTACTTCTAGGACACCCTGATATTTTGGATTTATGCAGGCAGGCAATAATATGCCCAGCCATAGGCAACAACTGTGATTAAGCTAAGATATTCGTAACCATCCTTTTTCCTTTTGCTTTTCCACTTTGCCTTCCTGGCAGCTAAGAACAGCCATATTATTTAGTTCTAGTCAATGAAATGTATGAGGAAGTAGTTCTCTTCTTCCTAAAAAGTTATCCAATTCATTTAAGCTGTCAAAGTTGTTGGTATAAAGTTGTTCACATTTCCTTAACATCCTTTTAATGTCTGTAAGACCAATAGTGTGCCCCCTCATTTGTTCCTGAAATTGGCGATTTCTGTAGTTTCTGGTTTCCCTTTCTTGATCAGCTTTGCTTAAGATTTATGAACTTTATCGGTCTTTATAGAATTAACTTTTAGCTTTGTTTGTTTTCTTTGTGGAATTTTGCTCTTTTAAAAAGATAACATACAGAAAATTTGGGGTGTGTGTGTGTGTTTGGCATCTAGTTCTATGAGTTTTAAGACATACATAGAATTATGAAACTATCAATGATACAAAATAGTTTCATCTCTATAAAACTCTAGAAAGGATATCTGCTTAGGGTATTCACACCTTTCCTATATCCCTAACCCATGCCAGCCATTGATTTGCTATCACAATAGTTTTGACTTGTCCAGATGTAATAGAAATGGAATCATAAAGTATGAAATCTCTTAAGACTAGTTTCTTTTATTCAGCACAGTGCTTTTGAGAATTAACTTTATTGTATGAATCAATATTTTATTGCTGATTACTATCTACTTATATGTACCAAAGTTGCTTATCCATTCAACCCCAGAAGGACTTTTAGGTCATTTCTGGATTTTTGCAATTATGAATAAAGTCACTATAAACACTGGCAATGAATAAGTGGTGTATTCTGCCCCAAGGTCTGACACTCCACCCCCAGTACCCTCTCCCCCGCACTCATCCATGTTCCTGGATTTGGTTGGGCCATGCAGATTGCTGCTTGTATCTTTATTCAAAGCAAGTGGTGGTGGGGTAAGCACTAGCCAACGGGTCACTGGGGATCAAACCTGGGGCCTTGTGTCCCTAGCCTCTTGTCAAGAGATCGTGAAGCTGTGGATTCTTATCTAAAAGAAGAAAAAAATTCTCTAAAAGACTGAATTGGGACTCCTAGAATCTAAGCTGGCAATAAAAGGACGAGGTGATATATATATATATATATATATATATATATATATTTCAGGAAAAAATAAGATGTGATGCTTCTTACCCACTAGCATTAACAAAGTGATTTCTATTTACTAAACAAATTTTCTAAAAGCAGGATCCTAGCTAGGCAAGGTGGCCCACACCTGGAATCCCAGCAGCTCAGGAGTCTGGGGCAGAAGGATCAAAGTTCAAAAGCTGGCCTCAGCACTTTGTGAGCCCCTAAATGACTCATTGAGACCTTGTCTCTAAATAAAATATGAAAAAGGGCTGGGGATGTGGCTCAGTGGTTAAGTGTTCCTGGGTTAAGTCCTCAGTATCAAAAAATAAAAAAAATAAAAGCTTGAGGCATTGTTGGAGACCATGTTTGTTGTAAAAGTGATTAAAACAGGTGATGCATTTGTACCCGGAGAAAGAAATGTTATTACCTAAGGAAAATAAAAGGAGACACAGAGATAAGATGCAGAGGCAGAAAAGGGAAAGAAAGAGTGGCTGCCCCTCCAATCAGCTGTGTTTATTTATCTCAAACATCACATAACTCGTTAGTACCATGACTACATTATTATTTAGTATTCCTTTAATCCCAGGTGCTAGATACTCAGTCAGGGCTGATTAAGACAGCCCCCTTTTTTCTAAGGACATTACCATAGTGACTAGATACTGCACCTGTATAGTTATATTGCTAGCTTCAAGGAGAAACTGCTGGGCATTCCAAGCGTGGGAAACAATGCCTGTTACACAGCCCCCTCCCCACCCCTGGGAGTTTGCTCACCAGAGGGACCTGTACATTTCACTGTCAGAATACCTACAAGATTCTATATTCTGAAGATCTGTGTTCCTGAGATGAAGGTTGAAACTGATAAGGCTCCAACATAGTTTCTTTGTGA